AAGTACACAAAATGTGCATGAAATATAATTTTCTAATTACTAGGAATTTTTGTTTTATAGTTCCGTACCTACTCCATGAAGGCAGGGAAGGACAGAAAGCTTCTGCCCATCACTATCTGTGACACTATGGGATTGGAAGATGGTGTAAATGCTGGACTGGATATTGACGACTTCACAAGCATTCTGAAAGGTCACATTCAAGACAAGTATCAGGTGGGGTAACTGAGAGCATGGATGCAAATTTGACTTAATTTTCACATATATGATGCAGTGTCAGCTCTCTGTACAAACCAACTTATCTTTTCCCCTTAGTTTAACCCGTCAGTGCCTCTACAACCAGAATCTAATTCATTCTGCAAAGAACCCAGCCTGAGGGACAGGATTCACACCGTGGTGTACGTGATCGACGCTGGGAAACTCAAACTTATCTCCAACAAAATGATCGAGAAGTTGGCAGCCTTTCGCAGGAAGGCCAACCAGATGGGTAATTAACAGTGTTGCATATTTATTTCCTTTTTCTTTTTCCTTTTGAGTCTTTGTTCTTATCAGTGATTGCAATAAACTCACAGAAGAAGCCGAGATGTAAATGCAACGTAAAACTCAAACATCATCAGTGGCTTTTTTAAAACATCGAGTCACTTTACCTGGAAATATGAACTTATCTACAAGATGAAGAATATTTAACTACTTCATTTCTTCAAACATGTAGTCGGTTTCAGCATCACTGCAAAACTGTTTTGCTGCGTCTTGCGGGTGCGTGTTAAACGCTGCTTGCTTAATTGCAGTACCGCGCTCTGTTTTTGCACCTACGCACACAGAAATTTAAAAGAAAACAGAATCAGAATCAAGCTTTATTGGCCAGGTTTGCTTTCACATACAAGGAATTTAGTTTTGGTTACAGGAGCTCACAGTGCACAGTATCAGACAGACATTTACATGTAGTAAATAAAATAAAATAAAATAAAACATGCATTCCTACCATCACTCACTCACAAACACACACACACACACGCACACACACGCACACACAGTCATACCTGTAAGCCTTTCATTGTGCAAAGTATGAGTCTAAAGTTAAAGTGCTGAGTGCAGCAGCAGTTAAAGGGTGTACAGTGACAAAGAAAGGGATCAGTGAGGTAACAGTCAGGTAAGTGGGGTAAAAAAGCAGGTAAGTGGGGTAATAAGGCAAGTAAGTGAAGTGCTAGAATAAACACTGGTCTGAGACGGTAGTTTCAGAGAATGGAGTGTTGAGTGTGATAGTATATACCAGTATTTTAGAAGTGCAGTTTAGAAGCTGGAATATTGTTTATGTGTCATAATTAACTGTTCAAGAGAGGGATGGCTTGTGGGAAGAAGCACCTCTGTAGCCTGGATGTCCTCACCCTCATCTGGCTGAAGTGCCGGCCTGAGGGAAGGAGCTGGAACAGGTGGTGTCCGGGGTGAGACGAGTCAGTGGAGATCTTCTCTGCACGCTTCCTGGTTCTGGAGGCATGCGGTTCCAGCAATGTGGGAGACTTAACCCCAATAGTCCTCTCTGCAGACCTGATGATGCGCTGCAGTCTGTGGAGGTTATGCTTGGTGGCTGAGCTGCCCCACACTGTGATGGACGTGGTGATGACAGACTCTATGATGGCTGTGTAGAACCGCACCATCAGCTCCTGGGGCAGGTTGAACTTTCTCAGCTGACGCAGGAAGTACATCCTCTGCTGGGCTCTCTTGGGGATGGAGCTGATGTTGCTGTCCCACTTCAGGTCTCTGGTGATTGTTGTGCCCAGGAACTTGCAGGTTGCTTTCTTGGGAACTGGAATTTTGGTGGAGTGTTTGAAGCAGGAAGGTACGACACACAGCTCTACTGATTTGTTGAAGAGTGCTGTAAAGACTGGTGTGAGCTGGTCGGTGCAGGCCCTCAGACTGGAGGGTGATATACCATCTGGTCCTGGTGCTTTCCCCACTTTTTGTCTCCTGAAGAGTCAATGCACACCTTTCTCGCAGATTTTCAGGGCAGGCTGAATAGGTGACTCAGTGACAGGAGGGTGTGAATCTGTGCTGAATGGGTGTGAGGAGCTGGGTTTTTTTAAACCTGCAGTAAAAGGTGTTAAGGTCATTGGCCAGCCAACAGTCACCCATTGTCTGGGTGGGGACGTCCTTTCGTAGCTGGTGATGTTCTGCAGGCAATCAGAATGAGAGTTTACATGCACTGAGAAATCTGACTACTGAGCCCAAATCCAGCCTCTTTATCAGATTTCTTAATCAGATTTCTAGACCTTATTCCAATCTAAGAAATCAGAGTGTGCCATTTAAATAATCCATTTAAATAATCAGATAACTGCAGAAATCTGATTATGATCGGATTACTGAATACATGTAAACACACTCAGTGTTCAAAACACTCCCTTGTATATGGCTGGCTGCTCCAATGTTGGTTGGCTGCTAAGTCACTTGCCATAGCGGCACTAATGCTAGCTTCAGTGGCAGCAGTGTTCACTTTAACAGCTGTTTTTTGGATATTCTTTTTTAGTTTGGGAAATTGGACAGGTTTTTAGATTCACAATGTGCTGTGGTGTATGGTAAAGTTTTTCAGAGGAATACAGGCATAGTTAAAGTTTCTAGGCTATGAAGGACCAACTGGGTGAACCAGTCTGCTACAGCGCCACCCTGAGGCAGAGCAGTGCTGCAACTCTAGTTAGTTAAGAACACCAGAGACAGAAGCTGATTGTGGGTGAAGCAGATAAACTATGACTTTTCTTTGAGTTTGTATTTGAGCGTCTATTTTACCCCTGTAATACTAAGTTTATTAGTAGTTTTCACTAAGCCCTCCCCCAGAATCTTTATTTTGAGACATTCAGGTGGTCAAAGAGGTTATTTAAGGGATCCCAGACGCCCCCCCTCCCGAACACCCTGTATTTTTTTACACCTTGGTTCTTATTAATGTTTATTCTTCATGCTCATAGGAATTTTTCCTTTTGAGTCTGGGTTCTTATCTTTTCAGTGTTTCCTCCTCATGATCTTGGGGAGGTTTTTTTTCTTCCTTTCAGTGGAGCTTCCTCATGGTCTTAGGAAACTATTCCTTTTGATTAGAGAGTTTCTCCTTTTGAGTCTTAGTTTTCTGCCACTGTCACCTTTGGTCCTTGCACTCACATCTCTGGAAGTCTACTTTGGGACAGTGGGCCTTATTCATCGAAGCTGCATAAAGGCGAATCTGATCATAAAATGAGCTCACATTTCATTCATCAGTTCATCTTTGGCATATCTGTACGATAAAACTCTCGTCTGTTAGGATTTCATATAAATTTCAACATAAACTTTTAACAGTATGAAAAAAAGCCTGATTAGAAGTAAACCAACCAAAACCATTATCAATGTCATCTATAATACCAGTACTAAGAAAAAAAAAATAGAATATAACAGTAATACTGATAATCTGTGCACAAGTCAGTCCAGTACAAACATGAATGTACATATTTTATATGCTCATTGATATAAGCAAATGCTGCAACTATTCCATGTTCCATTTAAAGACATATTACACTGTGCTTTTGTTTTATGATACTGACTGTGCCCACAAAATAAACATTATAAACACAGCTAGTGTTATACACTGCAAATATGTTATTTTAGGAAAATAAACACCCAACACAATCACATCACCCTAAAAGCATTGCACTCACTGCTCCACCTCAAACTCTGCCTACGAGCACAGCCATTGGCTCACAAGCCACTGAATGCTGTGATTTTAAAACATCTGTATGAATTAGGACACATGTCAGGATCCAGTCCTCACGGGCCAAAAAACTGCAGACACTAACCCTAACCTTAACACCTAATTCAGCTCATCAGCTAATTAGCAAGACCTTCATTAACTGAATTTAGAGTGTTAGATGTGTAAACACTGTAAACGCTGATCTCTACTGCACTTTGGACCGGAAGGTCCCCAGTTTGACATGCCTGACATAGGACGTGCTTTATGTAAATTATATGTAAATTAGATGCTGATAGGCTGGTGCTTGATTTTACACACTGAAGCTGATTCATCAATTGCACTCAAATCTCTGCTCATTTCCACGTAATGAAAGTTTCATGAATCAGACACAGAGTCATTCATACTTCATTAAATGTGGTCAAATGAAATTTGTGCTGTTGTTTACACATGATTAATAAGGGCCAGTGTCTGTTATAGAAAGCCTCAGTACAAATAAACAAACAGTCAGAATGGCCGAACACCTATTCTTCATGTCTATATGGGCGTTTGAAGAAATATACTGCTGATTTCATCATTATGGCGCAATACAGTCTCCAGGAAGCAATGATGTGTATAAGTTTCTTGCTTTTCTGTCTTTTATGCAGGAGTTCCACAGCTGGTTCTGCTGACCAAGGTGGATGAGGCCTGTTCTTCAGTGATGGTGGATCTGAAGACTGTCTATCAAAGCCGTTACATCCACAAAATGGTGAGATTTAGCATCTGAATATCAGCTTTTGAAAATCAGAATGAATCAGCTTCTTGTAAAAGTGCTCACACATACACACGTTCATCAAAGCCTGTAATTAAGGTTCTGTTTTGCAGATGCAGGAAATCTGTGTAAATCTGGGAGTCTCTCTCTCTAATGTGGTTCCAGTGAAGAACTACAGTCAAGACCTGGAGCTGGATCCTCAAACTGACATCCTCCTCCTGAATGCACTTACGCAGATGCTCAGAGCCACTGAGGGCTTTTTTGAAGATTTTAATGAAAAGGATGAGTAGACGTGTCAGGGTCAAGTTACTAATAATCATTTAAAAGCAATTTGATATAATCATCAAGTTTCTTATTTCTTGTTTCTTTTATAATAACCAGTATCATTTTTTTTAAAGCTTGAACCAGCATTTAGGCATTTCCAACTGAGACTGGCTGATAGCAGCACTAACCTGCATCTGAAGCTTGGTCAAATGCTTTCAACAAATCAGTAATTCTATTACAGTAATCATACATATGAGTGCTTGTTTTTCTGTGTTCATCTCTTTTTACTCTTTCAGAATTATCAGACTGAAAAGGTGTGCATGGTTTTTAAAACCTGCAATAACATTTTCTAAATAAATAAAACAGGCTGATACTCAAAAGTGGACAAATTGATCACTAATGTTACCCACACTAACCTTGTCCTTAAAAGCTTTTGACTGGGCCATTACAAGCCACTGAGTGAGTGTTTCATATATTAATTATATGAATTGGTCCAATATCAGATACAGATGTAGAACTGTAATAAAAATAGTGGTTTAATTAAGCTACATGTTATTCTCAAAGACACACAAAAACTGTAATAAAGAAAACAACTCTTCCATTTCATGCCAAAGGTGGAATATGAATAAGAAACTAAATTGCTTTCACTTTCATAATCCAAGGATAAGCACGGCTAACAGGAAGATGTGAGACAGATCCATGGTTTGCAGAGCTTCTCTGCTAGTCTTCTTCACATGGGACTTCATTGTCCTCTCCACTGGTCAGGGTTGGGGTAAGGGTCCCCTATCCCTGTCTCAGTAGTGTGGACCTCGGTCCTCAGATGGCTCCAGAGCCGGTCACCTGTCCAGAACTCCTATCAGTCTCTATCAGTCACATGTGTGCTGCTCTCCCTTCCCATGGCGTCCAGGAGAGCCTCCTGACGCCAGAACCAGTGCTGTGAGACGAATGCTGTGGATCGCTGGTGCTACTGTGAGTCAGCAGTGAACCCAGGGTCTTTTTGAGCCAAGTGCTCTTAGCAGCCTGGAGCTCGTTCACCAGCATCCCCTTCTCGTGCTCCAGCTCCTGAGGACAGCACAGAAAAACAGCTTTAAAAAGAACAGCATTGATAATTACTTTATTGCCTCAAGCCAAGATGCCTAGTGTCAAAATATTTAGGTTACATTATGTACTACATGTACGTTTATGGTTTTCTTGATATACTGCTAACATTTGGATGACTGACAAATGAACAGGTCATTAATTAAGTTATTCGTACTGATTAAATACAAAAGTCTGTTTCAGTAAGTCAGGAAGGACACTCTCCTTGAAATTTCTTAAAACTGCACAACACAAAACATACATCATCGTCAACAATCTCTGGAAACCTTAGCAGCATCAATTTAGGCTGAATCAAAACCACGTGTTGTCTAATGTATTCTTCTGAAAGCAGACATCATTAGGAAGGTTGTTGAAGTGCTAGCTGTTGGAATATAATAGCTAAAAATATCTCTACAAAAAGCCAGAAGAACTGACCTGTGCTGCTAGCTACTCTCTCAGAAGTAAAGGTACTAAAACTTATTTAAGGTTCACAGTTGGACCTTAAAAACACTGTTGTACCTTTGAGGGAACATTTACATTGTTTGTACCTTGATGAATGAGAAATAGACCTGCACAGAACCTTTATTTCTAAGAGTGTAGCACTTAATGAACCTTCCTAGTGATGTGTGCTTTCAGCAGAACATGTGAGATAATACATGGTTTTGAGTCAGTTTACATTAATGCTGCTAAGGTTACCAGAGATTGTTGATGATGACGTGCATTTTGTGGTTTACAGTTTTGAGAAATTCCAGCAAAACTGTGTAACAGTCAAAGAAAGTATGAGGAACAGAGCTGTGACACTTCAGGTGGCTAAACTGAGGCTTACAGTACAAACAGAGCTATTATACAGAACCTTAGGCTGCTGCTAACATGTTTCTCTAACTAGCTTAATCTCTGGGCTTCATCTCAACCACCACTGATCCTCTTCAGTGAGAGCACATAAAGCCACGGTTACTCTCAGTCTCACTCTCTCTCAGCCAACTGAGAACCAAACCAAAAAGAAGAAAACAGATCTAAAAACTAAAGAACCAAACTTCGGACACCAAACATTTGGCTTAAAATAAGTAATTAGGTATCACCTCCTTTTTTAAATGCACAATAGGTTTCATCAGAAGTGCCATGTTCTAAATCCTGAACAAAGGAACCCACAACACGACTGTTCGTATACACCACTGCTGTATTGACCAACCTGGATCTTGCATCTGGATTCCACCATCTGTAGTTTGGTCTGTGCTAGTTCCTTCTCCAGCTGTTGGACCTGTTGTTGGAGAAGATCCTTCTCTGTGTCCTGAGCTGAGCTCTGTGTACTCTCTTGGTCTAACCGCACAGAACCTTCCAGATCGAAGATGTTCCTACAGTGCTGGCATTCCATCACTTTGCTCTGCAGGAACACGGCACATACACTGTTATGTTTATTTATGTTGGTTGTGTGTAAGAACATGTTCAACAAGCATTTATAATCAGTTTTACTTAATGGTGTCATTCTAGCACAGTGTTTTGTCCAGTAGTAAAATCAATAGACCATAATTTAGCCAACTGAATCATTTCAGAACACTTTGACTGGAACCAAAAGCTCCTGGTGGAAACCTTGGTTAGTCACAGCTTTTTGTTCTATTAAAAGAAACAGAGGTGGGTAGTTCAGTTCCAGAAAGTAAAAATCCTCCTCAGAATTTTGTCCGACCAGGCTTGACTTCTCAAATGAGCCTAAACCAGCAGCTTCCAGGTAGTTGGACCAAAATCCTGGGGAGGAATTTTCCTTTTTAGACCTGATCTAGATCAGAATCGGATTCTGATCGGAAAAGAAATATGCAGTCTTAAAAATATGTATTTTATAAAAATAAAAATAAAGATTCCGAAAGGTTCTAAGCTTGGTTGTGTGGTTCTAGAAAAAAAGACTTTACTTGGTGTAGAACCTTTACATTATGTTGAGGTTCTTCACATTCATACCCATTACAAAAATGATTCTTTATAGAACCATCAAGTGAAATGTTTTTAGAAAACCAAAAGGGTTCTTCTATGGTAGTGGTTTCCAACATGGTCCACAGCCACCCCCCAAAAAGACAGGCTATTTTTTTATTTTTATCCCTGTTTTGAGTTGGGTTGAAGCAAAAATGTGAACTGTCTTGGGGACCCTGAGGACTGGGTTAGGAACCACTGTTCTGTGGCATCACTCCAGAGTGGTGGTACCTTCATTTTTAAGAGCAGATAAATGATTTCCTATGAATGAGCTTCTGCCTACCTTAATCTGAGCCAGCTTCTCTTCAGCTTCAAACTGCTGCCTTTCAAGCTTAGCATTCAGCTGAGAGCAAATCTAAAGGATGTATGAAAAAATCATAAAGCTAATTGTTAGTAAAGCCACCAAAGAATGAGTTTTGCTTTGCTGTGTTTGTCTTTGTGAAACACATTTAAAAATACTATAGTAAAAGGAAAATGAAATCATTTCATGAATAAGTAATTGTGCAGTCCAGTCCAGATCTACTTTACTGTATTTTTAGATCTTTAAATGTTTGTATACGTCTGGCTCCCAGTACCTTCTTGTAGTCAGCGATGACACCATTTGTTCTCTTGATTTCAGCTTCTGCTTTGTCCTTTTCCCTCCTGAAAACCTCCTTCAGCTGAAACACAAACACGTACTTTATTAAAACTAATATTTACTGATTAATTACTGTTTTGCAGATGTTTTCTAACCAAATTATTTAAATAGTTCTATTTTCCTCATAAAAAATTTAAATAAATCCTGGTTTTGCCGCTATTACACCAGGTGGTAAACTAAAAATGTTACAGACCTGATATGTTCTGTCCTACACTTGTTCCTCTGAATTATGAGGTGATTAAAGATTCAAAGAACTTGATTAACTCTGATTAAAGAATAATGATACACACTTGTTTCAAGCAAGCTAACATCACTAAATGACATGAAGTTAAAGCTAAAAACTGTAGTCTTTACTACCACACTGGACAAAGCTTGCTGACTTGTGTGGTGTATTTTGGTGAGGTGGTCAGTCTGCTGACTGGTTGGCTGAGTTTGTTTTTAAATTATAGGATTGTAGAATAAAAGCCTGGAACAGCTGGCAGATCTTGACTATTTAAGGTATTAAAAACTGCCCCCTAGTGGCCACTGTGAAACACCAGCAAATAATGTGGGTACCTGTGCTGCCTCTTCCTCTTTCCCCCTCTTCTCCTCCTCTGTCATGAGCAGTTTCTGTTTGGCTTTTAAAAGTTCTTTCGTCAGCTCTTCCACCTGATCCTCTGCCTGCAAATGTAGAAGAACGATTACTAGAAACAAGCTTTCATCAACACTGAGAAAGCTGTAAAAAATGCTACCTTGGCAAGTAAAAGCATCTTGACCTCTCATATTTCCTTATTTTATTGCCTATTAAAATGCTCATTACATTTTAAGGCTTATTACTCAGCAATTACATTGAAAATAATCATTGTAAGAATATTTTGAATGAAATTATTATATAGCAGTGGAACATAATTTTGGTTTATCCAAGAAATAAGGTCAGCTGCTGTAGCTGTTATATGAGACTGACCTGGTCTAAAGCGTTCCTCAGTGCAATCTTGCTGGTGACGAGTCTGTGAGCGAGGTTATCGTTCTCCTGCTCTAGACGCAGACTGGCCTCCTGAAGCTTCTGGTTCTCCTTCTAAAAGAGAACCAAACATGGGTGTTAATCTATTAATTTTTAATTCTGAAGGCACCGTTGTTCACTGAAACCATTATTTGAGCCTCAGTAACACAGAGAAGCACACAAATATAAAAGTCATAATTATATGATTTATAAATATATACATATATAAATCATTGCAGGTATGAAATTTTCCGTACATAATACAAGTTATTAATGTTCAGGAGATTAGATATAAGATAATTCACTTGAATAAGGAAAGAAGAAAGTCAAAGTAAAAAAACAGGAGTTTCCAAAACTGGAGTTCCAAAAATAAATAAATATGGGGCTCCTAACAGCCACCTGGAAGAGCTGGTCGACCCCAAAACTGCCCCATCAGATAAACAGCACTTAAAGCTTTCATCTCTGAGAGAGAGGAGAAAATCAAGCTGATCAGATCTGAAAACATCCACAGGTGTTTCTGTCCATCCTTCCACTGTGAGAAGATGACTCAGCGCTGTGGGTCTGAAAGGATGTGTAGCTGATCAAGAAGAACCTCACTGAGAAAAGGAAACAGATGCTAAATGTATATTTTCTCTGTTTTACCTGAAAAATTAATAACTTGTATTTAATGGCCGTTTTACCTTTGGCACAGTACCGTATTTATGTGTGTGTTTTGGTGAGTGAGTCAGAGAGTCGTTGTGGACTCGTTGAGGCAGAGTCAGCTCTTACCTGGTATCTGTGGAGTGGATCATCTGACTGAGTGTCCTTCAGCTTTGGCTTTTTAGACGGTACCTGTAGTCACAGGAACAGAACCGAGACATGTTCATACCATCAAAGGAAAACAAAGATTGTTAATTGTAAACAACACCACCATGTCACATCTCCCGCCTCTGGGGAGACATGACTTGGACTCTCCCTGGCCCCGCCCACTCTCCTCCTCTCCCACACACCTGCAGCTCATTCTAAGGACATTAAGGCTGCTACTTATACCTCTTTGTTTTCACTGTGAGTTTGCGAAGTCTCTGTGTTCGTCACCTGAGTTCTGAGCCTGTTATTTCTATTTGTTTTTCCTGGTTTTGACCCCCACTACTCTCTCTATGTTCTTTCTGAGTATGGCTCTGCATCTTTTCCTGCCTGCCTGTGTGTTGACCCCTGTCTGCCTGTGTGTTGACCCCTGCCTGCCTGTGTGTTGACTCCTGTCCCTATAGAGTCACTTTGCACTTGCATGACTGACTATCAGCATTCAACACTTTCATGGTACCGACCAAATTACTTTAGTACTACCAAGTATTAAAAACCTCTGTCATTCCGTCAGAAAGCCAATGAGCACACCTGTCCCAAAATCTAGCCTGATGATTCATTGCCTAAAGAACATTACATTTGCATTTTATTGATGTCAGCGTTTCTTGATTACTCTGCAGTCCATTGTGGTCAGTAAATATTCCCACATCTAGCGCATCACACTCATTTCTGGTTTAAAAGGCCCCCACTAATGCCCTTGTGTTAAACACAAGACCTGTGGGCCAAGTCACTATCCTATTCGGCCTGCAAAGTTATTTTAATTTTCTGTTAATATTAGTCAGTTTCACCATAGCTGCACTACAATTCCCAGCATGCACTGCAACATAAAGTGCACTCTGGCCCCTTTCTATGGGTCAGCGGTTACACAAAAATAAAAGATGCCTGGTGTCAAACAAATAGGAGGTTTTTAAAAAACTGCCATAAAGAGGACATTAAAAAGGTTTAACAGTTATCTGTAGATAATGCAGCCTAATGTTTTATATAAAACAATTATCTTTGAAAAGTATCTTTTTAAAGTATTCAGTGTCTATTTTGCTGTTACAGTTTTGGATATTTTGAATAAACAATGGCCAGTTAGGGTCATAGCAAAATGTTAAGTAATAATAAAATAAACATAGCTGACTCGCAGATCTGTTAAGATTTTTTAACATGGCCCTTTTAGTGGTTGAGTTCGACACCCCTGCACTAGTGGGTATCAAAGTCTAAGTACTGGTATCAGTATTGAATATTGTTGTAACAACACTCAGCTCAGGTGTGCAAACTACAGACCAATATGGTAATTAAAACATGCTACATTTTAACAAGATAAGGCACAGAGTCCAACACCATAAAGGTAATAATAACTTTGACAGAAACTGATATGATTAATAAAATATTAAGAGCGTTCACTCGCTGAGCATTCTAAGAAGACAAAACAAACTATGGGTACCTTCAACATAGACATAAAAGTGAGACATTAAAAACAAGTGTGGAAGCATTAGATAATACAGCACACAACACATTCTGTCTGAAAGGTTATTGGCTCATTCTCTTGTGCATAAGATTCAATGGTGTGCATTAATACTGGATCCTGTTCACTACAAACAGGTGACAAATTACAGGAAAGACTTGTATAACACGAAACGAGTGCAGTGCTTCCAGACAGGTTTACTGCAATCAACCAACTTAACGACTAACATCCTACCATGCTCTACGCATATGTAAAAATGCTGAGCAGGCACTTTTGACCTCCTTTTTGGATCAAGACGATCAAGAGGAAAAGATCTAAATAACTGTGAAATAGGGTTTATTATTTGGACATGGACGGCAGGAACTACTGAAACTGCTCATATCTTTCAACAGGAACAGTGACTAAAGTGAGCTGTTCATTTAGATCTGTGGGAAAGACACCAGTAAACAGAGCTGAACACTGAAGAACACATTCAGTGAGTGTGATGCTTGTGCATTAGCACGATATGTAAGAGCTGATGTTCCTCAGGTGACTAAGAACATCAACACAGGAACAGTCTGTCCACTACTGCAGTGCATAAACCCCTCATTACAAACACCAGTGACCATCTGAGATCAGCACTGGTCTACAGAGATGTGGAAAAAATGATATGATCAGATGAGTCATCCTTCACAATGTAAACACCTGGATGCTGGACCCCTGCTCTTCTGATGGCTATGTTGGCCCAACACCTCACCAAGACTCCTTATGTTGTTTTTCTTCCTTTCATTTGTCTGTATATGTCAGTTCAGTTAGAGATTACAGCAAAGCTCCACTGAAAATGTGACGTCTAAAAAGACTCTACCCTCTACCCTCTGGTGCTTACAGGTGCAGTTCATTATAATATGCCCCACATTAGAGCTGTAAATATTACTGTAAATCAGTGACTCTCAGCCCACATTATTGCAGCTTACTGTGTTATTCATTAGATAGTAGAGGGCATAAACACAACTCTAATACAGAGGCTGAATCAAACTGTCACTGTGGGAACTTGGATAATTTTTTTGGACACTTTTTTACAGAATTTGAAAATGCAAAGTTCTTTACAATGTGTTAGAATTTCGTGAGGAGTGGAGCAATAGAAATGTGAAAAAATGACTTCCATTAACTCCCATTCTATTCTCTGGAAAATTTTGTAGATACTCGGTTTTGTCTCAAAAGCAACACAAAGTTGTTTCACAACATGCCTAAATTTAGCTTTATTAGTAAGTAGTGCATTATTAGTTTAGAACTGGGTTCTCCATATCCGGTCCTGGAGGGCCAGTGTCCTGCACAGTTTGCTGATTTCACCGCTTAAAGAAATCTGATTGAATTGCTGATCGCCAGGTTTAGCAGGTGTGTTTAAGTAGGGGAACCAAACTGTGCTGGACTCTGGCATACCAGGACCAGATTTGAAGAACCTTGAGAAGCTGCTACTTTAGAAATTGCACTGATGTTTTTAATTTAATCTCCACATCACTACACTGAACCAGCTGCAGCTCCTGCGTTACTGTCCAGCACTCAATCAGGTAGTTTTGATGGTCAAAGTGCACTGAGCTTACCTCATGTTTTGGTAAGGAGTCTGAGACCAGTCTAGCCAAGATTTCCTCCTCAGACATCTGCTCCATGACCTGTGCGTCCAGCACCACACTGATGGACACTTCCTCCATCATCTTGGCAGGAAATCAGTGGATAAACTTAATCTGTAGAAGTTATCTGAACTAGACTGGAGAACAATCTAAACTAGACTGGAGAACAATCTGAACTAGACAGAAGAAATATCTAAACTAGACTGGAGGAGTATCTGAACTAGACTGGGGAACAATCTGAACTAGACTTCAGAAGCGTCTGAGCTAGACTTTAGAAGGGTCTGAGCTAGACTGGAGGAGTGTCTGAGTGAAGCAGGCTGGAGAAGTGTACCTGTCTTTATCTGATAAAATGCAGCTCCACCCAAGGCAAAAAGGTGGAGCTAAAGGTGGTAAAACACGCTCCTGCACATGTCTCACAGCTGCGTTTCCAAATAAAAACAAAACAAGCAAACAAAAAAACAAAACAATGCAGAGATTTAAACAATGCAGAGATTTGTTTGTCTGTCTGATTTTGTGTGTAATTCTGTATTATTCCTTAAAGTTTCTAGCCTCTGTTTCATATTAGTATAATAAGCTGAAACTTAAACCACATGTGTGCTGTGTCCAATGAGTTTACCCTAACATGCTGTGCATGTTGTGTTATGGTAAAGGCGTCGCTCAAAGTAGACACTTCCAATCCAGTCTAAACTCCTATTTATCACAGATGTTTATGAGGTCCGCAGCAGTCAGTCATCTGGTTCATCCTGTTTTGTCATCAGGGCCTGTATTGTATCAGCAAGTCTTCAATCTGCTTTCTTTGTATGACAAACTCTTTTTATGTCTGACTTACTTATCTGACACCAGTTTTCTAGACATACAAAACACCTTTATCTCTCCAAAGGAGTCCAACAAGGCCCTCTCCTCAGCAGGGTTTATATGGCTAGTATTGACAGCCATCTCTTCTGCTGCCAGTTATTTCCTGAATTCCTGATCAGCTGACCGAGAATGACTCTTAGCTACCCTCTCACCAAAATGGAAATCTGTGCTGTAAGAACATCTGATAGTAGGGCCACACCGGATCCACTGGAACTGAAAGTCTAGTTTTAAATAAGTTAAAGTATTGCAAAATAAAGCAATTAGCATCTGAAAACACTCACATGTTTCACAATGAGATTGCTGTAACAACCAAACCGTGCAGTGGGGAGTGGTGGGGGTTACGAAACTGCTTCAGCTTGGTGCTTTAGCTGTAGACACTATTGCAAGACAATATACCTGAGTGAGGTTAGAGAGAGGTGGGGTGTGGGAGGTGTGTGGAGGGGGAGGGGTTGAAAGAAGATACTGAGAGAGAACATTGGAGAGAAAGACATAAAGCCAGGGTGCTAAATTCTGAAAGAAACCAAGAAACCTCCAGAGTGTCCACCCCCTCATCAGTAAACACATAACACATTCATTTACTGCAGCTCAACACCATCATATATATATATATATATATATATATATATATATATATATATTTTATATATATATATATATATATATATATATATATATATATATATATACCTCTCCAAATTGATACCTTTACAGCAGAAAGCAAAAAACCTACTTCACTTCTAATGTAAGTCAATAGAACCAGAGTTTTTTCCAAGTAATTTTGGGTCATTTCTTTTGGCCCATTTATCATGAAATTTATACACAATGTAAAGTGTAACAGGTATTTTCAAATTATGTCAAAAACTGAAAATGTCAAAAAAATTGCCCCTGAAGAATACATCATATCCTCCTAAGAATCAAGAATAACAACAGCAGATAATAACAGTATATTATTTATCATTTAATAACTTCTTGTTCAGAGAATTCTTGAAATATTGAATAAAATGTCTAAAAATACCTTTTTGCAAATGGGTGGCATTTCAACCCAGCTGTAAAATTACAGCTTCAGAGATAAGAGGTGCTTTATGACCTTTTTGATCTATAAAGATATTGGAATTTGAACTGAACATTGTACTGAATTTGAACAAGATCAATATCTAGTACAATATCTTGTACGTGAGTAATAAAAACATTCTGATAGTGATCAGCTTCTTGTAGAAAACAGCCGTCCACAGTAAACTGAGTGAGACTGAGATTAAGCTCGAATCAGAGCTTCGTTCCTGTAAAACTAGTCTGTCTGTAGAAGTGAACGCTGACTGAGCTCTGCTCAGTTCACTGTGTTATAATGACTGCAGAAGTAACAGCAATGCTGCACATGCAGTAAAATGTGTTATTGTCATCATTACTGTGCTGCTGCTGAACATTATGAACTTGCAGGTGAAGGTGGAATAACGTGAAATATTCCAGAAATTTCCTTCAGGGTGAATATGCTGAATCATCTGAGTGGCTGTTCGTGAAGGACAGGTTCCCTCAGAGGAACTCAAATCTACTGGAACATCAACACACACACCACCCAGCCACACCTTCACACACTAACGTATACACACACACGCACACATTTAAAGAGAGGGAGTATTTTCTTTTTCACCTGGGCTTGGACCCAGAATCCTGTACAGCTGCTTTGTCACAATGCCTGTTGTAAAAAGCTAAAAGTGTGAGAACTATTGTATGGGGGCAGTATTTTTAAAAATGTATGTTAGTTACACAGAGAAAAATAAGCAATTAACTGCACAGCAATCGCCTCTGTTCCTGCACCCTAATGCAAAACTCCTGTGCAACAAAAGAAGCACTGAAATTTGCACACGAGCATTTAGACAAATCAGTACATCATAACTGAAGAAAGAAGTGTTGCATGTTTGATCCCAAGAACTTTCACAGTGAAGTATGAAGGTGGGAGCATCATGATGTGGAGCTGCTTCTGTGTAAATAGTACAACAGAGACAAGTTTAACCTCATCAGCCAAGAAACTGAATCTAGAGAGAAGATTGATGATTTAATGAGACAACAACCCCAAACAAAGAGCCAGAATAACTCCAGACTGGTTTCTACAGAATGTGGCACAGTGGGTGACACTGTCGCCTCACAGCAAGAAGGGCCTAGGTTTGATTCCCTGGCCGGGCGACCAGGATCCTCTCTGTGTGGAGTCTGCATGTTCGCCCAGTGTCTGTGTGGGTTTCCTCTGGGGGCTCCGGTTTCCTCCCACAGTCCAAATGCTAAATTTCCCCTCGGTGTGAGCGTATATGTCTGTCTGTCTGTGTTTCCTGCCTTCTGCCCAATAAGTGCTGGGATATGCTCCAGCTCCCCCCACGACCCAGAAGGATAAGTGGTCTAGTAAATGTGTGTGTGTGTGTGGTTTCTAAAGAAGGTGAAGGTGCTTGCAAGGCCTAGCCAATATCCTGACTGGAATCCTACTGAAAAGTTATGGAGGATTTCAATCCAGAGTCTATCAGAGGGATGTCACCTTTTGGGAATTTAAGGTGGTTTGCTGAGAGGAACGGACTGAAACTGAAATTCAGTGCTGCAAAAAAGCGAATTACTTCTTATCATATCTTTGTTTATGCTGATATATACATACTCAGATTTAAAAATCAAAAGACATTCTGTGTAAATTTTAAGTGGCTATATGCACTGGAAGCAAAGTACGAAATACAGGGGGCACTGGGGGATCTGGGACCCCATAATTAAACTCTTGGCCCCCCTGAATACCTCAAAGTCAAAATTCTGGAGGGTCCCTGGAAATAAACTTATGATGTCATGCTGTCCGTTTGGGAAAAATATATGCCAACACCACCACCAACATCACAACCACCACCACCACCAATAATAATAATAATAATAATAATAATAATAGTTTTATTTACACAGAACATTACACACATGGCATTCAGATGTAGAAAGGCAACATAAAGGAAATTTATGAAGGTACAATCCTGCTAACAACTTTAAAAGACCTTTAAAAAAAGCTTAAATCAGTTCTAATGATTTTAATGATGCTAAAGCACATGTAATATGTTCACTTTTGTGGATGTGTTTGTACTCCTGAATGTCTTATGGTTATAATTAGGGTAATTTGTTAAATAATACACAAACATCCAGCCTTTGGATGTTATATTTTGGATGTTAGAGTTAATATTCAGTGAAGACGCACCAGAGAGAGGACTTTATAGGTTAAAGCAAACTGGCCCCCCTTGGCTTCAGCACCCACCTGTGTAACTGGCTGCTGGACTTCCTATCAAATAGACCTCAGTCTGTGCGGGTGGGCAACAATGTCTCCAGTGTCATCTCTTGAGCACCGGCTCCCCTCAGGGCTGTGTCCTGAGCCCGCTGCTGTTCACCCTGATGACCCACGACTGCTGTGCCAGGTCCACTACCAACCACACTGTGAAGTTCGCAGATTACACGACAGTAGTGGGCCTAATTCAGGATGACATCGACCTGGACTACAGAGAGGAGGTGAACCATTTGGTTGACTGGTGCGAAACCAACAACCTGGTCCTGAATGTCGAGAAAACCAAAGAGATCATCGTAGACTTCAGGAGGAGCCAACCCAACCACACACCACTCCTCATCAAGGACACAGCAGTGGAGATAGTCAGCAAAATGAAGTTCCTGGGGGTACAGATAACGGACACTTTGACCTGGTCCACTCACACTGAAGCTCTGGTCAAAAGAGCCCAGCAGCGCATGCACTTCCTGAGACGGATGAAAAGCGCACACCTCCCCCCTCCGATTCTCACCACCTTCTACAGAGGCACTGTAGAGAGCATACTGACCAGTTGCATCTCTGTCTGGGCAGGAGCCTGCAGCGCCTCTGACTGGAAGTCTCTGCAGAGGGTGGTAAGGACAGCAGAGAGAATTATTGGGACTTCACTTCCTCCCATACAGGACATTGCAACAAGTCGCTGTCTGACCAGAGCTCAGAACATAAACAGAGACCCCTCCCACCCCCAACATGGACTGTTCTCGCTGCTAGCCTCTGGAAAGAGGTTCCGAAGTCTTCGAAGCAGAACAGCCAGGTTCAAAAACAGCTTCTTCCCACATGCAGTAAGACTGCTGAACTCTAAATAAATGCTGCTTCAATTCTTTTTTTGATTACTCCATACCTGGGAGCTACAGTGCAATACACCCTCTTATATATATACTTATTTAAAATTTATTTATCTGTTGACATAAATGTGTTCACATATGCACCACACTCTGCACTACATTGCACATTGCACTACATTGTATTATTTATAATTCTCCTGATCTACTCTGAGCCTATGCAACGTAATTTCATTCTAATGTGCACGGTACGGTGTAAATTTGAATGACAATAAAGTCTGTCTAAGTCTAAAATTACTGAAATCTCATTGTTTTATTGTTTAATCAAGAAAACACTACACTCTGTTATTATATAATGTTTTGGGTCATTTAGCACTACATCATTTACTACAAATCCAGCTATGAGTAATATATCAGAAATTCTTTCTGTAATATTCTTCAGAGTATGGTAAAAAAATAAGCTTATACAATTTCATGAATGCAGGTCATCAACAAGCTCAGACTTTTGATTCTGAGTGTAAAGAAAAGCAGATTTGGAGGAAAACGGTTTTAAGAATGCACCATTTGTGTGAATGTCGTCATTGGTACAAAGACAATAAACATATATCAATATTTTATCTAGATTGTATAGGAAACAGGCTATTCTGTGATGAGATAGGAAAGTGGGCGGAGCTAAGGCTTCATTAAACTTGCTAACTTTTGGAAAGTTCAAAAGCAGCTGTGAAATGATCAAAATGTATATATTCCTGATGAGATTTGGATAGTGTTTCTGATTACAGCTAAGAGGTGTTATGGATACAGTTACTAACTCCTATTCTAAACATGAACCTAATCCCAACCCACAGTATAAACCTAAACATAAACACTAAATCTAACCTTTCCTTCCTTTAACCTTTAACCCATGAAAATGTGTCTGAAACGCCCTCTAGTGGGTAATTATTTGCTACATGTGACAGAGAACAGCCAAATTTCAACCCACAACATTTTTATGTACAACATGCATAGAAAGGGGAGGACAGAATTCCCTATTATTACATTTATTAGGTGTTAACATTTTGGATTATGCAAGAAACATAATTCATTCACTCACAAATCACAAATTCACAAATCATAAGGAATCAGAAAGTAGCTTTTGTCAGTGTAGCTGCTGCTAACTAACTGTTTAATGAAGTGTAGTTTGGTTGGGACATCATATTTATTATTGTGTAACTACATTTCTGAGTTCACAAACTTGTTGTAAGACCCCCCCCCACCCCAGCCCCCCAAAAAAAGGAAATAACAAATGGGTCTATTAGATTCAGACAGAGAATCAGTTTCCACAGATTTCACAACTTCACATTTTTAGGAATTTCCACATACCAGCTAAAATCCTCACTGGTTGAGTCCGTTAGAGTTCTGTGGTTACATTTTTAGTATTTAAATGTAAGGGGAGATATTGTCCTGTTTTTAAATGTATGGAAAGCTTTTGTCCTAATTTTGATTTTACTTTAATGACCTTCAGACAGCAACCTATTTAAAATATCAGTCTGTCTTAACATAATGGATTTTAAATATATTTATTGTGGTCTACATCAAGAATCATTTTAAAGGACAAGATTTCAGTTTTCGCAGTTGGTAAGTCTTCTTTTAATACTGACGACATCCACAATACATGCTCAGTCTTTATGTATTTAGCTGTTGGGTCTACTGATCCTCATGGTTGCCTTTTCTCTTTCCATGATTACCAAAGCCAGGGTAATTTGTCCACTTCAGTCAGGAGGGAACTCAGCTGTGTTGTGCTGTGTTAAACTGGTTTTATGGAAAGCAGGTCAAATCACTGCTGCTCTCTGAAACGCATAATATTTGCATAGCTATATGTCAGATGTGCTTATTGCAACTCTTTCCTGTTTTCACTGTTCAGAGAGCTCTGCTTCCTCTGTCCTACTTCTTATTTTAAGAGCAGACCAGCACTGAAGTCTCTCTGACAGATCAGAGGAGTTTTTAAAGTTATGTAGTTTTAGAGTAATATGTTTATTTGACAGAGCTGCTGGGTTGTTTATTGCATTCTCTATCCATTTGCAAGAAATGTAAGCCTTCAGAACTGAAAGACTAAAGACTCTGGAGTGATGCCATAACTACTTACAGCAGGTAAAAGCATTTAATATATTTACATGATTTACTCACATTATTCCTTTGTGCACTCAAACAAATAACACACACTTAATTAAAGACAGACTTCAAAAGAACAGAAGATTAATTAAAGATTGATCTTGGTTAATTACAGAGAAAACAAGTGTTTGTGATTTTTCCTACAGTCAGATGTTTGTGTCACTCTTTCAACTCCAGTCACAGATGCTTAAGCTTCAGACTAATTACCTTAAAGATTTTACTTTAGACATGAAACTAAATTCATGTCCACATTCCATGTTTAATTAAACATTAAATCAGTTTGCTGTAATACTGCTAAAACATATGGTAACTACAGCACTTCCCAAAATATCAGTTTTGTTCAATAAAAATCACTTCCAAGGGAAAGTCCACTGTTTTTTTAATTACCACATAATACAGTGTGTGAGTCATTCAGAGTAGTTTGGTGTGAAATGGTTGATTGTAGAACTTCAGATTTCTTTACAGTGGTGATAGGAACCAGTGGTCATTAAACAATGTCTCAGTCATCAGGCAGCGTTTAAAAACATTTCAGCTGGCTTGGTAATTACAAACAACTTACACATTTCTTTGAAAAATGAAAATGTAAACTTTATACCATTTGTAAAAAGTTCAGCCAAAAGTAATGGGAATGGAAATACACTATATTGCCAAAAGTATTCGCTTGTCTGCCCTCACACGCATATGAACTTGAGTGACATCCCATTCTTAATCCATAGGGTTTAATATGATGTTGGCCCACCCTTTGCAGCTATAACAGCTTCAACTCTTCTGGGAAGGCTTTCCACAAGGGTTAGGAGTGTGTTTATGGGAATTTTTGACCATTCTTCCAGAAGCGCATTTGTGAGGTCAGACACTGATGTTGGACGAGAAGGCCTGGCTCGCAGTCTCCGCTCTAATTCATCCCAAAGGTGTTCTGTCGGGTTGAGGTCAGGACTCTATGCAGGCCAGTCAAGTGCTTCCACACCAAACTCGCTCATCCATGTCTTTATGGACCTTGCTTTGTGCACTGGTGCGCAGTCATGTTGGAACAGGAAGGGGCCAAACTCCCCAAACTGTTCCCCCAAAGTTGGGAGCATGAAGTTGTCCAAAATCTCTTGGTGCTGAAGCATTAAGAGTTCCTTTCACGGGAACTAAGGGGCCGAGCCCAACTCCTGAAAAACAACCCCACAACATAATCCCCCCTCCACCAAACTTTACACTTGGCACAATGCAGTCAGACAAGTACCGTTCTCCTGGCAACCGCCAAACCCAGACTCGTTCATTGGATTGCCAGACGGAAAAGCGTGATTCGTCACTCCAGAGAACACGTCTCCACTGCTCTAGAGTCCAGTGGCGGCGCTTTACACCACTGCATTCGACGCTTTGCATTGCGCTTGGTAATGTAAGGCTTGGATGCAGCTGCTCGGCCATGGAAACTCATTCCATGAAGATCTTTATGCTGTTCTTGAGCTAATCTAAGGGTCACATGAAGTTTGGAGGTCTGTAGCGATTGATTCTGCAGAAAGTTGGCAACCTCTGCACCTCAGCATCCACTGACCACGCTCTGTCATTTTACATGGCCTACCACTTCGTGGCTGAGTTGCTGTCATTCCCAATCGCTTCCACTTTGTTATAATACCACTGACAGTTGACTGTGGAATATTTAATAGTGGGGAAATTTCACGACTGGACTTGTTGCACAGGTGGCATCCTATCACGGTACCACAGTGGAATTCACTGAGCTCCTGAGAGCGACCCATTCTTTCACTAATGTTTGTAGAAGCAGTCTGCATACCTAGGTGCTTGGTTTTATACACCTGTGGCCATGGAAGTGATTAGAACACCTGAATTCAATGATTTGGATGGGTGAGTGAATACTTTTGGCAATATGATGTAGGTGGGGTTAACCGTCACAGACTAAGAGTTAGAAGTACCAGTCACTGCAAAAGGCTGGTAAATTAATGCAAACATAACAAATTCAAAGTAATTCTGTGTTGTTTGAAACAGTGAAACTTACAGCATAATATATATGTAAAATAGTTAAATATGGGAAAATAGTTGTAGACTTACAGTTACAGTCACTGCACTGAAAGCATGTTCTGCATGAACCAACAAAAAAATTGGTGTTCCCAAGTTAGGTTTTGACCCACACTTCCCTCTACTTTGATTACATGGGTCATGAAGAGTGAAGCGTCATTCAGTAATATCCAGTTAAGTGAATTGTCACATTCCTCTTGACACATTCCCCTTAATCTTTCTCAAACCAAAATATCTTACTGGTATCTTACAGAATCATTCAGTGCACTTCAACCTACTGTCCTTCATCATGTCCAGTGATGCAAGATGGTAAACATTAGACCAATGTTGCTGAATATACTTCAGAATTTGTTGGAAGAGGACCTGAAATCATTTCAGTGGTACCTAAGCAATGGTGTGGAAGGTTTCACTCATATTCCAAGGGCTCAGCTAGAAAAGGCAGACAGACATGATATTGTGGATAAGATGGTGCAGAGCTACGGCTATAATGGAGCAGTGGAGATCACACAGGCCATCCTGAAGAAAATAAACCAGAACCAACTGGCTGTGGAACTCAGAACCAAACACAAAGAAAGTAAAGAGGCTGGATGATTTTCACTCTTTTTTATTTAAGACATCTTAAATTTAGTCCCACCAGTTATGTCTTTTCTGTATTTTATATTCTTTATAATGTACTGCTGTACCCTTGTCTACTTTCCTAGATGTAACTGATAAGAACCCAGAAACCTGCCTGAGTACAGCTCAGAATGGAGAATCAGGTAGGGTTCTCATTGCAGATAAAGCCAAAACATGTCCAACTCACTGTCACATCTTCTTATTAAAACAAAAACATCATGTCATTGTGCCCACTGTGGGCCTTGTCTTTTGAATGTTACGTTTTATAAGCTTTAGAACTGTGGTATTCACAATATTGTGTCCATTAAAGTAGCGAATACAAATATTTATTGAATCTCATCTCTGTCCTGAGCATCATCCTGATGCGACTATGGCTTTCACATTTTTACTACATAATCAGATACTTTTAACGTATAAAAATATAGTAAAATTACCACAGTAGTGATATAAGTAGTCTTTGAAATAATATCTTATTTGGGATGAAAAACCAACCAACCCAGCAAACAAGCCTATTTTGATCCTGTGTAGGCCCAGTGTGTACTCAAAATTGGGCCCCCTGTGATGTGGCCACAGTGAGCCCCTTTGGGCTTAAACACTGGGACACAAAGAGCTCCATAATATCCCATGGAGTAAGGATGCATTTAGGCTGCCATGATGTGGGGCCTCATAGAGACTGCCCACAACGTACCCACTTGGTTCACATACTGCAGTAAATGGGCTGTCCCAGGAGCATGTGGTACATCACTTGTCTGTTTAGCTAGACTGCTTCTTCTCCTTAGCTTTTGTTTTGGTAACAATATAACACTAATCAGTTTACTGTCTAGCAACACAAGTCCTGCCCCAGTAACATGGGATATGCCAGTGCATCATGGTTCAGTTCATGGCGTCCTTAGTAGCCCCATTTGGATGCTTCAGGCCCAGAACATACAAACTCACAGTGGCCCACGTGGTCAGAAGATGCTCCTGGCCCAGTATGTGATAACCTGTAGTTGGTGCATGTAACATTTGATTGGGTAGGTCCTACACTACACTGCCCACACAGAGCCCACAGTGGCCCACATCTGAAAATGGTTCTGTGGCCTAGGTTGGGCTAATCCACCATGCTCCTAAGCAGAATTTATTTGGGTTTTGCATAGCCCAGTCTTGTACAGAAGACACACAGTGTGTGACAATACAACAGAATCCAGATGCTTGCGGTGTAAAAGGGCGACAGGTAGTTTAATGGAGTTAAGCAAAAGCGGAGTCAGAAAACAAGCATGGGTCAAAACCAAACAGCAACTACAAAACACAACGATGATCATATCACCGTGTGAATGAAACCAAGGGGCTAGATAAAAGGGCAGGTCAATAAACAGTCCAAAAGGTCAAAAACACAGATCAGCAAAATAACCAGCACCATATCCAAAAAGGGGTAAGGCAAAAAGGCAGAGTCGAGAAAGCGAAACACAAGGTCAAAAACACAGCAGACAAAAGATCAGAAATAACAATCAGTAAGATTCGTAAAGAAGCAATGCCTTGCACTGAACTTCACTAAAGCCCGGGCTTATAAACTATGCTACCCTGATCATATGATCTTCAAACACAGGTGCAAATGGTTAATACTCCGGAGAACGAGAGCGCTGATAGGAGTGCGAGATATGGTCAGAAGTCATGTGATCCCCTGAGGATTGTGGGTATTGGAGTCCCTAGCATTTTCCAAGTCAGATGGGTGTGGCCCAGTCATGTGATCCTCCTGAGAGTTCTGGGTAATGAAGTCCATATCATGCTGTGATACTGGCAAATGCGTGACACAGTGGTCCTGGGCAAGCCTGTTTGCTGGGTAGGATATTATGATTTGTGTAGTGAGTCTCACTCTTGATATCTTTTTTAAATCTCTGACAAAAGCTTTGCAACGCACCCAGTTGATGGCCATCCTGAAAGAGACATATGAACGTATACTGATTGGAAATTCACTGACAGGACACAAGAAGTTCTTAGAAGATATCTACACTGATCTGATTATAGTGCAGGATGAGAGTGGAGGAGTCATTCGTGAGCATGAAGTGATGCAAATTGAAATGCCTTCCTGTACTGATGAGGAAATTTGTATCAAATGCAGTGATCTTTTCAAAATCCAGTCTGATACCAATCGATGCAATAGAAAAGTACTGACATCAGGAATTGCAGGAGTGGGCAAAACTGTGTCGGTCAACAAATTCATACTTGACTGGGCAAAAGGAAAGGAGAACCAAAACTTGCACTTCATTTTCCCTCTCCCCTTTCGAGAATTGAATCTGAAGAAGGATAAGAAGTTTAGCTTGATTGAATTACTAAATCAATGTTTTTTCACTTCAAAAACTGCAATAAAGTCTCTTCCAGAGGATAATGGTAAAGTTTTGTTTATTTTTGATGGGCTTGATGAATGCCGCTTTCCTCTTTGCTTTGAGGGTGGAGAGGAAGTAAAAGATGTCAATGAGAAGACCTCAGTGGGCTCATTGATCACAAATCTTCTTCAGAAACATCTGCTTCCCTTTGCGCTCATTTGGGTAACTTGCCGACCAGCAGCAGCCCATCTGATTCCCCGGGACTATATTGACCTGGTGACAGAAGTGCGAGGATTCAAAGATGAACAAAAGGAGGGATATTTCAGCAAATACTGTAATGAAGATGTGGCATTTAAAATAGTCTCACACATCAAGAAATCAAGGAGCCTCTACATCATGTGTCAAATACCAGTCTTCTGCTGGATCTCTGCCACAGTGCTTCAGCCACTGATGGCTCAAGAGAGTAACAAGGACATCCCCACAACCCTGACAGGAATGTATCTAAGCTTTCTGTTACAGCAGAAAAATGTAATGAAAAAGAAATACCCTGAGGAGACTGCAAAAACTGTTAATGTTGAGCACATTATTTTGAAGCTTGGAAAACTGGCCTTCCTTAATCTTGAGCAGGGCACTCTGATGTTCTATAAGGATGACCTTCAGAAATGTGGCATTGATGTCAGTGATGGCACAGTGTTCTCAGGAGTGTGCACACAAATTTTCAGTCAGCAGAAAGGAGTTTCTGAAAGGAATATTTTCAGCTTTGTCCATCTGACTGTCCAGGAAAGCCTTGCTGCTCTGTATGTTCATCACTCACACTGCAACAACCGAAGGAATTCATTCAGAAAGAAGACACTTGGTAACAAACTTACATGGAGGATGAAGAATCTAACAGATCTTCATAAATGTGCAGTGGACAGGGCTTTGCAGAGTGAAAATGGACACCTGGATCTTTTCCTTCGCTTCCTCATTGGCATCTCACTGAAGTCCCATCAGAGTGACTTAAATGAACTTCTTCCAAGCCTAAAGTTGAAAAGTGAGAGTGTCAGTGACACAGCTGACTACATTAAGAAGAAACTGAGTGAGCAAGTATCTTTTGACAGAAGCTTGAATCTCATCCATTGCCTGAGTGAACTGAATGACAACTCCCTGATGACTGAAATCCAGAACTACCTGAACTCAGGTGATCTCTCCACACAGAGACTCTCATCTACACAGTGGTCAGCTCTGGTTTTTGTGCTGCTGATGTCAGAGGAAACTCAGGAGAAGTTTGAACTGAAGAAATACATACCGTCAGATGAAGGACTGAGAAGACTCCTGCCTGTGGTGAAAAACACAAGACAAGCTCTGCAAGTATCATGCTCTTTCTTCCTTTAAAGTTTAGTAAAAGGAGTTATATTTGGTAAAGACATAATTCACAAATTCTGGATGGCCTACATCACTTCTCCCTGCTCTTATTTCAAATGTCTCCATTGCTGACCAGAAAATACATTGACTAAATCTGGCAATTTAATTTGATGTGCATATACTTTAAACAAACCATGCACTGTTCTAAAAGAGGAAAAGTTTACAGTAATCACACTATGATATATGAGATCTAAGGATGTTCGGATATAGATTTTTTTGCCCTAATCCCATCCTAGAATTTTAATACTGGCTGACACTGATGCGTTATTTGTATTTACATCAATAATATAAACAAATAATTTAAGGAAGACATGTTGGGCTAAAAATAAGTGCCACAGTAAAATGATTTCATTTTTGGTATATTTTAGCAAGTGGATTGGTACATTTTGGTACATTGATACATTTACATTTACACTGATATATTTTAAAATGATAATTTTATGTCAGGTCTCATTTTGATTTATGATTCAATCAGTCTGGCATTGTGGCTTGCAAATACTTGAAAATGCTGTGGTGAAATCACTTACACTTTGGCATGATGTTTGCAGTAAGCAGAGACAAAACTTTTTATGTGCATGTTTTGATGAAAGACAAATACATCTTCAGCATTGGAGTAAATCAAACAGTGGATCAGGATTAGAACAGTGAAAACCAAAATCCATCATTAATTATCTGGATAGATTTTGATCCCAATTTACTTGAATCAGATTGGTACATGCCTAAAGAAAACTGTAAAGCTCTTTCATTTAGGGATTACTTTAATTACTTCTACTTTTGAAAGGAACTGTGTGACAAGTATGAAAACTGAAACAATATTTATCATAAAGGTTGGATGACTGCAACCTCAACAAAGACAGCTGTGAAGCACTGGCTTCAGTTTTCAGTTCTGATTCATCTTTGAAAGAGCTGGACCTCAGTAACAATGACCTGAAGGATTCAGGAGTGGAGCTGCTTTCTGCTGGACTGAAGAGGTCACCCTGTAAACTGGAGACACTCAGGTCCATATTTCAGAATTACGTTATATTTTTAAACTGAAAAAGATGCTACAGATGATATCTATAACATTGCACACAAGAAAACAGTTACTTTGTTATGAATACATATCACTTCTTCAAACCACACAAGAGATAAGTAAATATGGAAAAAAATAGGAAATGTTCAGTTGTATTGTAATCCAGTGTTGGAACTGGAGGCCCATTGTATGGTATCAATCTGGTATCAGCAGCTTTAGGAGACTTATGATGTAGGACTAAAGCGTACAAGGTTGCCTGCAGATGATGAGTGACAAAATCACTTTGCACCAAGGAAGCCATCATAATCCTATAGAGAGAGCAGCACCTCTAGTGCTTAATCTAGATGCAATGCTACTTTGGGCACTGAACACCCTGTCGAAAACCAACAACTAACAGTGTTTGAAAGAAAGACAATTTTGACAAGACCCCATGGTACATGAGTATTAATAAATCAAATACACTAGCAAAAAAAGATTACAGAAATGCAAAGCTCATTTTGTGGAATTTGATTTCATAATCCCTGACTGAACTGCATTTTGTACTGTATTCTTTCTCCCTTTTCCAGGCTTGTTGGCTGTAATCTCACTGTTGATTCTTGCAAAATATTTGCACAAGCTCTACTTTTAGTACACTCCTCCCTGAAAGAGCTGGACCTCAGTAACAATGATCTGCACGACTCAGGAGTTGAGCTGATCTCTGCTGGACTGAAGAGTTCATACTGTAACTTGGAGATACTCAGGTGAGCTTTCTGTAAATTCATTCTTGAACTAAAAATGGTGGAAATGTACAAGAAATGTTAAACCCACAATACAAATGACATAACTCATGATTTGTTTAATTAATGCAGTGTCACAATTCTTATTTTTAAACTCTATTATTAATTCGTATTTTTAACCCTAAGCTTTCTGCATACACAGAAGTTAAAAATAAATGTATAGTGTTTGTGCAAAGAACATACTTTTTTCTGTTTCAATTCAAAAATCCTTATATGACTATTGTACACTCTATTTACATATTTTTTGTACATATTTTCTTTCCCTTTGCAGACTAGCTATCTGTAATCTTCAGGCAAAAGCTTGTGAAAATCTGGGATCAGCTCTGCAAACAGTAAACGCGTCTCTGAAAAAACTGGATCTCAGTAACAATGACCTGCTGGATTCAGGAGTGAAGCTCCTCTCTGCTGGACTGAAGAATTTGCATTGTAAACTGGAGTCACTCAGGTGAACTTTCTGTGAATTTATTCATGAATGAAAAAACTTAGCAGTGAAGGCCCGGGAAGACACTTTTCTTAAAGGCCAGGTTTTCTTCACTCCTGCAATCCATAAATTCTTCATCCTCTATATTTCCAAAATTTTATTTTAAAATGGAAAGATTGTCATTCACCTAACGTTCTTCTGTTCTTAGCATTTGTTGAATATTCTGTCAGTTTAAAAGTAACTTTAGCACTGTACAAAGTTCCACCATTATAAAAGGCATTTGTCCCACCCCTCCTCTTCCTGTCATCTACAGATTATCTGGTTGTATGGTTACAGATGAAGGTTGTTCTTCTCTGGCCTCAGCTCTGAAATCAAACCCCCTCCACCTGAGAGAACTCGATCTGACCTATAATAACCCAAGAGAGTCTGGTGTGAAGCTGCTCTCTGATCTACTAGAGGATCCACACTGCACCCTGAAGAAACTACAGTGAGTTACTGACATATTGTCTCTATATATACACAAACAGTCAGAGAGAAAGAAAATGTAGAGAAGGCAGAAAGTGTTATACAGTTATTTTCTTCTTTAGGGTGGAGCATGGAGGAAAGAACAGGATGAAACCAGGACTGAAGAAATGTAGGACATACAAACACAATTGCAATGCACAGTTTTTGTTACCTCCACTAATTTGTATTTTTGTTTGCAGATGCCTGTGAACTCACTCTGGACATAAACACAGCAAATACACACCTCTCTTTGTCTGAGGGGAACAGAAAAGTGGAATGGGTGGAGGAGAAGCAGCCATATCCTGCTCATCCAGAGAGATTTGAGTACTATCAACAGGTTCTGAGTGTGGAGAGTCAGTCTGAACGCTGTTACTGGGAGGTTGATTGCAGTGGGAGGGGGGCTGTTGTAGCCATGGCATACAGAAAGATCACCAGGAAAGAAGACAATAAGAATTGTTTAATTGGATTTAATAATCAGTCCTGGAGTCTGAGCTGCTTTAATGACAGCTACATTGTCTGGCACAACTATAAGATTACTACTGTACCTGCTCCCCCCTCTCACAACCGTAGAATAGGAGTATATTTGGACTGGGGGGCCGGCACTCTGTCCTTCTACGGCATCTCACTTAACACACATACACTGACCCACCTACACACACTCCACTCCACATTCACTGAGCCCCTCTATGCAGGGTTTAGGGTTGGTCCTCACTCCTCAGTGTGTGTATGTAAGATGGAATAATCTTTCAAAAACAAAATGTAAGTATACAATGTAAATATGCAGCAAAGAATACAAAATGTAGGCATATTGTAATGACATTAGAAAGGTATTAGGAACTTTAATTCCACAGTATGTAAAATGCTAATAAAAACAGAAAGCAATGATTAATAATTGCTGTTAACTTGTGTAAAATTGAGTTCTACTTCATTAATGTTATTGTTTTTTTAAATATTCACTCATTTCTAATTTGATGCCTGCAACGTGTTCCACAACGGTGGGGAATAAATATGTTTTTCATCACCTTTCCTTCTAACAACACTTTGTTTGGAGACTGAAGACACCAATTGAGCAGAATTTTGTGTCATTCTTCCATTATACAAGTCTTCAGATTGGCATTCTTATGGCGTGCAAACTTTTTCAAAGGGAAACAGGTCTGGCCTGCAGGCCGGACACAATCAACAGTATCTTGATTCTTGAGTTTTTTTCGACACAAGTTCCTCTGGTGTCAGAACATCAAGCATGATTCCCTGACAAATCTGAAAGTGTGCCCAGTGTCTTAAGTAAAACTGGCATAGTTGTTCCTGATGTAATGCTAGACTGTCATTCTGTAGTCCATGTTTTCAGAAGGTCTCTTTTTCTACAAATTGTTAGCGTTGTGAAATCTGCATGATCGCTTCATGCATCAAAAAATATCATTCAGACAAACAAACGGCCTAATCAGTAACATAGGATGAAAAAGTGAATAGACCCAAAATGTGAGACATGATTAGGCTAAAGATGTTACACTGAATTTCTTTCTTAATTATTAGTGCATAAAACTGAACCACAAATTGTAATTTTGGTGAAAGCAAAAAAAGGATCTTAAAATGTTCTCTAGTGAAGGAAGGGTTCTGATCACTTTAATGCCAGTGTTTTGTAGAATGGATAAACACAAAAACTATGAGTGGCTTTGCTAAGGGATCATAGAGCCCGTGGCAAGGTCCTCGGGGTGGGCATTGACCATGCTTGATCCCTTCCTTGCTAGCCACCCTGACTGTCAACTCAGATTTTTATGAGCAAAAGGACTATCTTACTCAGGACTGGACAGGTACAGGTTAGATATGGTGACAGGTGAGCTGGATAAGACAAATTACAAAATTTGCATTGTGTGGGATTGCAAAGACTGTGAGCCCTTGCTTTAAGAGACATTTTACAAATGTTTTTGATAATAACAAAAACTTGGTTTAGCAAGTAATTAGTGCCCCTCACTGTGATGCTTCTTAAAGACACATTACTGCTGTACATTGTCTGGATTTCCAGTACTTTGGTTATGCATGCGGATTGGAGTTGAGGTGAAATGTCCATGGGTGCCAATACTGCACCAAAGGGGTGCCAAAGAGCTTGTGGAACTCAAGCCAAAAAACTCAACCTATTCCTATAGGCTGGTCCAAGTCTAAATGGTTTTGTGAATCACAAGTTGCCCAGGCCCTGAAGCAGCAAAGCATGTTTGTTTGACTGTTGGTATTATGCTCTTACAGTGGAGCAATGGATTCAGCCTTGCAATTCTTCCATGGATGCCATTTTGTCTCTCTTTCAATTGGTAGAATCATGAATGCTGACCTTTTCTGAGGTGGAGAGATCAGCAGTTACACAGATGTTCACCTGCGTTCTTTTATTACATCATTGTCATCTTGGAATGATTTTAGTAGGCTTACCACTTCTGAGAAGGTTCACCACACTTCACCACTGTTCCATGTTTTCTCCATTTGGAGAAAAACTTACTTTCCCATGTCTTCCAGAATTTCTTTTGATTGTGGCATAATGCATCTTTTGACCTGCTGCAAATTATGGGGAAGATTCTACAAAAGTGATGTTTAGATTTAACACGGCTGGTAGTTTAATTGATCTCAATTATCAAAGTAATTTTGGTAAGTTTGGTTGATTCATTGATTAAGTAATTACTTTTTCACACAGGGCCAGTAAGCCGGTAGCTTATTTTCTTTAATAAATTAAACACATTTAAAAATCATTTTAGATTTTCTCGGATTGTTTGTGTTATGTTACATTTATTTTGGAGATCTGAAACAATGAACTATGACACAGGCTGGAACATATACTTTTTCACAGCACTGTATGCACTGACAGGTAGACAGGGTGAAAACATATTTATTAAGCTCAGTTGTTAACTGCAGCACTTCCTCTGTAGCATTTAATGTGAAACTATATATTTTTAAAACACTGACAATATAGACAATATAGTCTGTTCTGTACAGTTGTTTGTTTTTTATATTACTTTGCACTGTAAATGTATATTGACCTTTGTTGGTTTTTATTGTTTTGATGCAAGAAGGCATTGTGAATTATCTGAAAGAGAGGATGGAGGAGATGGACTCGGCCATGGCCATAACTAGCATGAGTACACAAAGCCTGAACCTTGGTAGTGTGGAAACGTTTTATTTCACGTATGCAGGAGAATCAGTGTGGAAACCAGGATGTCCTGATAATGCGGTAGCGTGCTGCAGAAATGCTTCCATTAAGACAACAGAATGAGCAGTGACATGACTTGTTCTCCACTGCCCAAGGTCTTGCCCATGAAACACTATGCCACCAAGAGCATCTCTGACTTCTTGAGATGTACAGATATACAACACACATATTGTGGGCTAACATGACATAACCATAATATAAATGTGAGTATTTATGAAGGCAGTTAACAGATTTTACTTGTTTCTGTAGTTGGCTATCAACTAAATATGACAATTGAATACGCACTTAATGGTAAATAAAAGTTGTTGTATTGTGCTACCTTCTCATAACATTTTAAAACCAGCATAATAAAGTTCACTGTTAACTACCTTATTGATGCCACAGTTTCATTTCATAGATTAGGCTGTATTATGTATTATATTTTAACTGTATGAGTAACCTTTTATCCTTTCTGTTACCTGGGGTTTGGTAGAGGCTGTTTTTTTCTGGCAGATTTCAATGTATGTTTTGTCAGTAATCAGTGAGGACAGAGAAACAATAGAGAAAAGAAGGCAAGCACAAAAAGAAAAAGAGAGAGAGCAAGAGACAAGAGTAAAATTGATTAGCATCAAAACCAATGTAAAACTGTCAATTGATTTAGTATTGTGGCATTGGTGTAGAAGAAGAGGACACAGGAAACAGCACTTCAAAGGAATGCTCTTTTATTGAACATAGCAGCAGAGGAGACCCGCTGCTATACTACTGTATGGCTGGGAATGTCAGACATAACCATACACTTTTCAGGAGGTACTAACACTGCACCAACTGCCCCACAGCCCAGCACAGGATGACACATATAACATGTGCATGCGCTAATAACACCCATAACAACAACTGGACTGGTAGCGGGATGCTACAGTATAAAGCCTTCAGCATGTGTTTTCAGCTTAACATAAATGGATAAATAAATAGTAAAATACTAAACTAAATAAAACTAAGCAGTGTGACTGGAGTAAAATCTGTTTATGGAACAGTAATAACAGTTTGGTGAAGAATGGAGGGATGGAAAATCAAGAAATAAAAAAAGATACAAATTCTGAATAGATAAAAAGTGATCAATTAATTAATAAAAAGCATGACAGTGTACAAACTGGCAGTAGGTATTATACAGGTCACCTAAAAACCTCACTAAAAGTTTGATCCTAGTTATATCCCTGCTTGGACCCCAGAGACTTGGACTGGACTTGTGAACATCTCTGCTTATTACATATTGTCACGCATTCGGCAAGAGGTCAAAGGAAAACGGACTCCATTTCCCAGAATCCCTCGGGAGATCACGTCACAGCACAACGTCCTTCAGAGATGGAGGACAACACTACCCAGAGTTCTAGGGAAACTCACGTGATCACTGACTCTCAAACACGCTCCTATCAGAGATCTAGTTCCCCTGAATACTGATGTGTCACACCTGTGTAGGATGTCATATGACTCAAGCTGTTTAGTTTATAAGCCCGGGCTTTAGGTAGGCAAATTGCGAAGTATTGTTTCCTTGAGAACTACTGAGCGTTTGTATTCATATGACCGATACTCTGTTTTTGACCTGTGCTTTGTTTGTCTGGATTCTGCCTCTTGTCTTACCCTTTGGATACTTTTGCCTGTCTTTGCTGACCTGTGTTTTTTGACCCCTTTTTCTGTTATTTGGATTACGTTTTTGCTCTGCCCTCTTTGGATTGTTCGCTTGGTATTTTTTGAATACACTTTGGCCTAGAGTGATTTAAACTACTGCTCTCGTTATTTTTTATCCGCGAGCGTCTGTTTTTTTTTCTGTCAACACGTTACACATATACAGAATACTTCGCCTCACATGCAGACGGCGGATCCGGAAGCCTTACAAAAGGCTCTGAACGAGCAAGGACAACTCCTGGGTCGCCATCAGCAGGTTCTGACCGGAGTGACTCACTCCTTAGAGTCGTTTGCACACCAACAGGCCGAGCAACAAACACAGCTGGCTCAACTGGTTGCTAGTGTGCAGGGATTGACGAGCCAGCTCCAAACCATGAGCTTCACAGAACCTGCAGTCAGCCCTGATCTACCCCCGACAACAGCGGCTTCTACTACCGTGGTTTTTCCGGTTAGTAAACCAGATAAATTTGGAGGAGACCCAGATAAGTGCAGGGGGTTTCTGCTCCAGTGTTCTGTTTTTTTTGAGAACTCACCGGCAAGCTCTGACCAAGCCAAAATCTCTTTCATTATATCTCGGTTAGCAGATAAGGCTTTAGAATGGGCCACAGCCAGTTGGACCCATATTCAGCGTTTGTCCTATAACCAGTTTCTTAGAGAATTCAAAACTGTGTTTGATCACCCCTACGAGGGTAAAGTCAGCGGGGAGTTATTGTCTAGATTACGTCAGGGGAATCGTTCAGTGGTGGACTACTCGCTTGAATTTCGTACTCTAGCAGCGAGCAGTGGCTGGAATGAGGCGGCTCTCCTTGTGATGTTTCATCAAGGACTAAATGCAGAGATCGTTAATGAGCTAGCCACCAAAGACGATGACTTGACTCTAGATCAACTGATAAATCTAG